GCGCCGAGAATACGCAGTGTAGAGAATGTGCAAAGTGGAATAGCATCAGGAGTAGAAGCCCGTCGGTAATGCAGGTTCGATGGATGAGTACCGAAACAGTGCGCAGGGAATTCTCGACATGGTATTCCTAATACAGTTTCTAGCCCAAAGCTGTGCTGATCTGTTTTTGGAAGCTGGGAGCAGAAAAACCTCTAACTTGTAAAATTAAAAAATGAAATTAGCAAAATATTATAAACTGAATAGCTTGAAATCGGTTTCACGTCTTTCTGAATCTGGCGATTGTAAATTTGGTTTGCTATATTTTTCGCTGAGAAGCAAGCTAGGAGCTTAAAATTAAGGGCCTTATCGCATCTTAAGTTTACGGCCAGGGCCCATGCAACTTTTCTAGGCTCTAGTCCCCTCCGTTTAAATGCAGGATAGGGGCCAGTAAGATTTAATAATTTTTTTTTTTCTTGAGCGAACTGATTGAAAGTGATTGTGCTGCTGTTATTAGGTTGTTTTCTGAGTCTTTTTTTTTTTTTTCATAAAACGTGGAGCGCGAGTTTTGGCCATACTACACAAAATAACTTATTGTTGGCAAATAGAACTGGAAAATTAACTAAAAAATTCTTGAACTACCGTCTTACAAAAGTCTTTCTATTTTTTCCTGTTAGGCTCTAATGGACTTTACAGGGCGGAGTAATTCATTCGAAATCATCTTCGAAATACAACTGTTTGCCTGTTCATTTTTTTCAGATAAGAGTTGGCAATGTTGATTAAATGGTATTCGAAATTTTAAGCCTTTTTCAAATCCTATATCGAACAAAAGTCCATCATTACAATTTAAATATCTAACGGCGTCTCTTGTACAATAATTCACGGGGCATCAACAGTTTTTTTTTTTTTTGCAGTAATGCTTGTCTAGGCCAATTTTCCGCCGGAAACATCACTTATTTTAGTTTATTAATAAGAAATGCGAAAGAATACCGATAAAATCAATTTTTTTTGAAGCTATTCAGTGATATTTACAACTTTCGCAAGACTGGAATTATTAAAATTCATAAGGTGACTTGTGATAAAGAGTAAACTTTCAGGTGCATACGGGATACGCGATGAACGTTAACATTGGTGATCCGTTTAAGGAATTCTTCGTTCTGCTTGAAACTGTAACATCGCGTTTCTGGGTCGTTGGAATCGACTGCTTCGACTGGTTAGTTTTAAAATAATACCTGCTTCGACTGGTTAGTTTTAAAATAATACCTGCTTCGACTGGTTAGTTTTAAAATAATCAAATAATACCGGTAATCCGCCGTCAGTTTATTATTATAAAAGCAGCCACCAAATGAGGGAGTCTTCGGCAGCCTTGCCACTGTTGTCGGCATTTACTATCACTCGAGCTAATACTCGAGTGCTTTTGTTTCTTATAAACAATGAATATGGAGGAGTTTTGATTTTTCGAAAACTCATAATTTTTATGCGTTTTTGCATATATGCAAATGCAAAAACACACATTGGCAAGAGACTGTGTCTGTCTGTCTGCTCGCATCTTTTGTCATCCACATTCAACTCGACAACCACAAAAGCTAGAAGGCTGAAACTTCGAGAGCATGTGCCTAAACCATGTGCAATCCTCCCGTTTTAATAACATCATCCGCACGTATGGGTGCTGCGTACGAACGCCTTAAAAAAAATACGAATTTTTGGCAGGATGGCGATCTCGGGTGCCAGAAAGGGCAGAGAGCTGAAACCCTGCAGGGATATCCTCTAGTATGTGTGAGCTGAATATTTCCATTGCAGCCCCTGGTTGCGCGCGTTTCTCATGCATAGACGTGTGAAATTTTTGTCTAGGAAAATCACTAAGTCGACAACAACCAGAAGAGATAAAAAGAAGGGGAATGTTCCCTGTACATGTACAAATTAAATATTTCAAATTTACCATTCATGCAGTTAACGATCTGAGTACTTCAAGTCTAACGCAAAAGCGTATTATCGTATCGGCAAGCCTGGTGCATTCCAGCCTGGGTTTCGATGAATCAACATTCTCCGGAAAAAATGACTGGACATGATGCAAAAAAGCTGATAATCATATATGCTAGAGGTCCGTGCTCAGTCGACGCTTTTTCCCCTGCATGCGAGAAAAGACCAAAACACAGCAGATATGAGCCCAAGTGTTAAACTGCAGTGCAGGAACCATTTCTGTTGTTAGCGATCTGCAAGTTTGGCGCAAAAAGACATGGTCACATTGGGCGCTTGATAGAATCACAAAACCCAAATTGTGAAGTTTTCTGTGCCTGATTCCATTATTTCAATTCCACATTTTGACGACAAAATCAATCAACAGCTATAATATTTGCAACAAGAAATTTTGAGGGCGCATACTAAACAGAAAATCGACCTTGTGTCTTTTCCCTTTTGAAGCTATTCCAGGTGATGGCTTAAATTTTTAATTGTCTAGGTGGCCTCAGTGTGTCTCTAGTAAAGACAGCTCAAGCTGTTTGGATTTTGATCCTTTTCATCTGGAAGGATGAAATAATAAACGATATCTTCTCCGTCAGAAATGCTTTGAGAAATTATTCACATAATCAAAAATTCCTACCACATTCGCTTTCTTTTGAAAGTGAAAATTCTCAAAAAGTTTGGAAGCAACTGTCAACAGCAGCCACCCACTGGCAAGGGTGTTAATGAAAAATTTTCATGTGATGGAAAGTAGGGTTGAGCAAATGGCTTTTCAAGTGTTCCTGGATATTCCAAAAATTTGTTTTAAAAAACGGGAGGAAAACTCCTGTGGCTAGAGGTGTCAGATTTTCATGGCAACAAATAAAACCTCCTTTCAGGCTTCCATTTTGTCACGGCAAAACGAAGTATTTGGTTACTGAATCGAAAGGCGCTCGATTTGAGTTAGTTCCATGTAACCTGAATTTCGACTATAAGAAGGCGATTACATTCAACCCTTTTCGTTATACTGATCAAATCTCGGTACGTCTGACTGCTATAAATAGTAATTTGGCATTAAGTTCTTGTGAAAGACTTTCAACCTGATTCCAGCTTTTCGCTCGTCCAATCTGTTTTTGAAACGTTTTGATGCGACCCCAGTTTTCTGAAAAACACATCACTATAAAAAAAAGATCAACAATTTTGCTTTTTGTGCACCAAATGTCACAGGTAAAACTGAGAATGAATTTTCAAAGTAAGATGCCAAAAAAAAGCAGATTTTGCAGTTTTTGGAAGCAGATTCGTTGTAAGCATTCGGTTTTATTATTTCAGGTGCCGGAAATGAATGGTGCTGCCGCCTGGAAGTTTGAAAATGCAACTTTCAGAACGGTATCTATTGTACCGTACCCCATTTTGGAGGAATACCAAAAAATTAGTGGAGTAATTGGTTTGGCAAGACTAAATATCCAGAATGAATTTACGAAAAACAATCCAATGAGAAAGGCCATCCATGCGGGTACTCCAGTCATCACCATTGCCCTACCGAAGCTGGTTAATTTTTTTTTGAATATTTATTTTTTGTGTCCTAAAGCTCAATTTCACACTTAAGATTTGCAAACAAAAATAAATTTGCTTCAGTTCACTTTTGAAAAAAATTTCTTAAAGTTGCCAAAAAGCCGAGATTTCCTAAATTTATTTGTCGGTATGGAAGGCATGTTTTTCGACATGTTATCAGAAAGGAAATGACTATTTGTGCCACCCAAATGCCGCACACGTAGATTGACCACCTGTTTGATACTAGCTGGAAGTATGTAGCCCGGAATCTAACAGACTGGCTTAGGTACGCCAAGCATGTGGAAGCTTTCCTAGAAACTTGGAATCCTCGTACCGGTTGTCTAGAGTTTACTAAAACTTTTAGTGCAAAAAAGCTGCTAATGTTTTCTCCAGCATTTGATTATCAGTATCAAAATGATGGAGTTATTGAAAGATTTCAGGATACCAGACGAGAGGCAGTACTGACAGTTGGTGGACATGATAATAAATCTTGCATTCTGGGAAGTGCGCTAAGCGAATCAGTAATTTTGAACGAGCGTTACGATTTCACTTACCTTTCTATTCAAATGGGGTCTCTTAAGTTCCAGTCGAGAGCTGCAGCTGTCGCTTATCCTCATATCAGTAATTCGAACATTGGTGTACCAAAAGAATTCATGCAGAAAATTCTTCGCAAAACTGGAGCAAAGGTGCCTGTTAACTATGGCAGTTATTACAATATGTGTAATTTTTGTTGTGCCGATGCACAAGCAATGCTGCATACTAGAATACATAGCGTAATCATAATGCACAGCATGATTGACGAAAACGCAAACTTGGTTGATTCTGAGGGCTTTATTAAAATCTAGCCTGAGGAGTACACCAATTCGTGACGAATGATTTGTGCGCAGTTCTAAGGCTTTTTGCTTCCGCGATTCGGTCAAATTTTATTTTTGCTAAGCATCTTAGTTTGGAAGACGGGTGTGAAATGCTTGGGACATCGCCGGATGTCATTAATTCAGTCGTTAATTTGAATATATGTCATATCTGCGGCCAGGAGAAGATAGCATAGATAACTTATGCCGTCGGAGCAGTATCAGTAAAAATCGAACAGCAATGCTCTCATTGTTCCTTCTCTGTAAGAGGAACAAATGTATGGAAGAAGTCATTGAGAGCCTCGTGCTGCTATTTACATTACCCAGGTACTAATAATCGCCGCGAGCTTTCTTTTAATGAGCTATGAGGAAAATTCTGGATTACTGTCGATTTTTAAACTCTCTCTTTAAAATTCGTCGCTTATTTCAGTTTGACGCAACAACGAATAAATACCTGGTGAATTGTAATGCAAATTTTGATTCGCTTCTTTTGAACACCGACAGTAACGGGTTTGCTGTCGAACCGGAGTATTTCGTTCGGAAACACAGCGTGAGCTTTAAGTTTTATGCAAAATATTTAAATCTGTTGCAAAGAATCGCAAAAAAAGAAAAATGGAAAACGCTACTGGACTGTGATTCTCAAATCACCACGATGTTGGTTTTATAAAATCTTATATTGACCGACATATTTCGGTCGTCATCGTTTCCAACTCAATTAACTTTATTTTTGATGTAACCCCGAGGCGAGACAATTGTGCCTAGTGGAAGGAAACCGACTAGCCATTTCACGCTTGTCCCACAGCACTGTTGGCACCGAGAAGTTGCGCACTGAGTATTCGTTAATTCTCTACAAAATATTTTAATTATTGTATAAAATACAAGCGACAAAATCTGGTTGTTGCTTTTGTTTGTCGATAGGTGACGGGAGTAACATAACAAAACGTTTTTTTAAAATAGTTTTTTCTCACGACACGCAACACATATATCGACAGTTCTTCCTTCCTTAGTTCCGTAATTTTTTCTTTTCTTCACCTTTTCTGTTTCATATTTCACAACGCTTGTTATTTTTCCCATTTTCTTACCTTTCATTCCTGAAATTACAACCTCACAGCTTTACTAGGTGGCAATATACCTTAACTCGGTCTCGGGGTGACAAAGAGGCGATTGCACTCGATAAGCACCATTGCTTCTTCAGTGCTTCATATTTTCGCAAACATTTGTTCCTATTGCTTTAAAAGGGGTAATTGCCCAATTTTAGCATCATATTTCAAAACTCAACAGCAGTTTTTAGGACAAGCGCTTGTTGATCAGACTAGCTGCCTTTCTTCACGAATTTCTTAAAACCAAACTGATATGAGTTCTACCCAACCTAGAGAAGTTAGTTTTTCCTCGTCGGTGTTGAACCTTGAATTTAGGGCTGCGATTAGCATTATCCACATTCTTCGATTATTCCTCCTGTCTTCCCCCTCTCTGTTTCACTCCCAAATCCCCGACCTAAAAAGGTAGCAACATCTTTGATTGCGTGACTATGACACACAAACTGCCCATATTCCACATCACCAAGCAAAGTAATGCTTTTAATGTAATAACATAAGAATAAGAAGGCAGATTTTACAAATCAAAAGTTAAGCACTTTTTGTTGAGGAGATTCAGTGAGCGTTAGGGCTGCCAGCAGAATGACCACTAGGCGACGCAGCACGGTCAAATCAGTTGTGAAAATTACCAGTTTCAGAGGAAAAGAAGAGGTTGTAAAATAAAGCTAATC